GACCCCATCTGGTTCCTCTTAACTCAGTGTGGTAACATTAACAAGACCAATAAAGAAAAATAATCTGCCCAGGAGTTTAAGACTAGTCCTGTCTGCTCCAGACCCCTAGCTTGTTCTACTATTTCAAGCATACTGCGGGCAGCTAGTCCTGTCCTGATGTTACCTAAGGTCACAGGGGACCCAAGAGGTCAATCTGAGGCATAGGATCTTGTGCTAAAGTAGATGGTGTGAAGGAGGACTTGCTGCAGTATGGTGTGTCACTGCTCTTTTTTCTGCCTCTACCAGAGGAAGAAGCCTGAGGAAAAAGGCCTGGGTCAGGAAGATGGTTCAAAGGGCTGAAGCTCTTGTCGTAGCCTGGGTTCAATTCCCAGCACTGCACGATCCCCCAAGCGCCACAGGGCATGGCCCAAAAACAAAAGAGGAGAGAGACAGACCCTGATTTCACAATCCCCCAGTCCACACCCATGCTCCCCACAAGTCTTCTGAGTGTGATGAAAACCTACTGACAGGCTGTAGCAAGCTTGTAACACTGCAGTGACCAAATTAAAGTAACAGTTTCCACACAAGCTCTCCTGACACAATTTATCTAGTCATTTTAGCTCATATTCTAAAGTTCTCCAGGTGAGAATGGACAAGGAGCATGCTGTACTGGACACTTATAGAATGGGGAAAAGGAACTGAAAATGCTTGCTGATACAATTACACAGCCACATGGTTTCGAGGAACCCTGCAGTGAATCAGACCTAATTCCTGACTAGCTCAAGAACTGACTCTCTCCGGGATGGAGCTGTGATCATGGAATGTACAAGACTAGGGGAAATGGCCAGGACAGGAAAAGCAGCATACAAAGACAATGAAATATTACTCAGCAGTAAACAAGGAGAGAAATTCTGACTTAAGCTACAACATGGGTGAGTCTTGAGGATATTGTGCTATAATCAAAGGACACGTATTGGATGATTCTACTTATATGAGATCTTGAGCACGGCCACATTGTGAAATGGCTGTTGCAAGCAGCTGAGGAGGGGTTAGAGTTTCAGTTTTTCAATCCTTATGAAAGCTAAAAATTATCATTATTAGGGAATGTTATTTGTAATTACTGAAGAATCTAAGAACTCCCACCAAAAGCATGGAAACAGGCCCACCTCAAGTCTCACATTTCGAGGGGCAGGGAGTATCAGTCTACAGGGTGATTCCTACTACCAGAGATTATAGGCTGTGGACCCAGGTCTGGGCCCAGGTCCATTTGTACAAAGAGGAACTCTGCAGTAGGTTCAGCAGCAACCCACCAGAGGGAATCATTTACACTGCACTGGCAATTGACAAGCATCTTGGGATAACGTTAGTAACAACCTGGGAAAATCAGAGAACTGGCCTTGTAAAAACAGAATGAAGAGAAAAAAAGAGTTCATTAGAGGCTGAAGGGCAAATATTGGTAAGCCTAGCACTGAAAAGCTGGTTATGCCACAGACTCTGTCACAGTGAACAGCTGTGGCCAGGAAGAATAATTATCAAATGATATGAGCTCTGGAAATCTTTCCTGGGCAGCCTACTGGATAAAGGACTACTTGAAGTCTATACAAAATCAATGGCATAAGCAAAATGCATCTAAAAAACAATTCCAAGAAGAATCTAACAGACTGTCCACAAAGCCATCTATTATACTTCACTTTCAATTTGAATCATTCCAGGAAAAATAAAAATAGCCCCAGGGTATTAAGAACCAAAGTTCTAGAGCTAAAAATACCCACCAAGGCTTAGACTTCTGATTACCCGGAATTGCCCTAAACCTACCAGCCTGCAGCACAAATGACAATATGGTAGCACAAAGAAACTTGCAAAGGGATGTGCATGGGTGCTCAGATTTGATGCCCAGCACTGCCCACAAGCACTGAGCACAGCTGCAGAAGCTCTGCTGTCCAGGACCCCCCCCCACTCCCCCTCCCCCCCCCCCCCCCCGCAACTTGGAGAGCACCACACCCCGGGGAGGTGTTCTCACAGCACACAGTAGCTCGAGCAGCAAAGGGAGAGGGAAAGGAAAAGAAAAATACAAATTGCACCACAGATGGCTCTCCTGCAAACCTGCCTTTCAACGAGCAACTGAGGCACCGCACACCCGACCTTTCTCACCTGGTCAATCCCAAGTTCTGACATCTGAAAGTGAGACCTAGTTATCTGGACACCTCAGGTGAACTTGCTCCCCTTGATATTCTCCTGGCATTCCCCTCCAAACTGCCAACCCTTGATAAACAAGGAATCTTTAACTGTCCTCTGGCCCTACGGCACACGTTCTGCAGCACAGAATTGAAGAAATGGCGATTATGCTTCAGAGTACTGCTCTGTGTGGCATCTAATAGGCTGCTACTGAGATGGGGTAAAAAAAAATTTTTTTTGAGGGGGGAGGCTGCACCTGGCAGTGCTCAGGGCTTACACCTGGCTCTGTGCTCAGGGATCATGCCTGGTGGGACTCATGGGGGAGGGGGGCAATCTGCAGTGCCAGAAATCAAGCACCCTACTTGCGGTACTATCCCTCTAGCCTCCAAGATGGGATGAATTTCTATACTACCACAAAGACACACTTTCACTTTGAAAAGTAAGAGGTGTATGTACTTGGGTTTTCTTAAATCGCTACTTTACCCATATTTTATTTTTTTGCTTTTTGGGTCACACCCAGCGATGCACAGGGACTGGTTCATGCACTCAGGAATTACTCCTGGCAGTGCTGGGGGGGGGAGGGGGGCATATGAGATGCTGGGAATTGAACCCGGGTCGGCCGTGTGCAAGGCAAATGCCCTAACTGCTGTGCTACTGCTCCAGCCTCTTTACCCATATTTTAAACCTGAAAGATTTCTGTGTATTTTCCACTCAGTTCTTTTTGTTTGTTTGTTTTAGTTTGTTTTGGGGCCACACCCAGAGGTGCTCAGGAATTACTCCTGGCTCTGCACTTAGAGAATTACTTACTCCTGGCAGTGTTCAGGGGACTATATGGGATACCGACACAAAATCTGGGTTCACTGCATGCAATGCAAGTGCCCGACCTGTTGTACTATTGCTCCAGGCTTCCACCTAATCCTCTTGTAGAATTTCCAAGTATTCAATCCAAGAGGTTGCTAGAGTCAGAAATGCCAGCTTTGGTACCTACCTTCCTTCAACCTGTATCCAGCCCGTCCAACTTTCCTCCAAAGGACCAGGCCAGGGAGATAGTTCAGGACCAGAGAGCTGAGTTTGATCCCTGGCACTGCAATGAACCCCCAAGCTCCCAGCACCGACGGCTGTGACCCAGGTCACCCCATCTGGCTTGGTTGTCCCTCAGGGTCTCCCTGAGTACTGCTTGAAAGCTGCCCTCCACCTCCACAGCCACCCCCTTTTAGAGAAAATTCTCAAATAGAGACTTGTACTATCTCAATTTTGTGAACTTAGGGTGGGGTGTGTGGAAGAATTAACCACTCCTGGCAGTGTTCAGGGGACTAAACGGTGCTAGGGGTTCAAACCCAGAGCCCCTGCAGGCCAAGCATACACTCCATCCCTCTGGCGCACCTCCCTGGCCTTATCATCTCTAGCTCTAAGTTACTGTCATTCTGCCCAGACAAGGACAACTGTCTCGTAAGTAATCTTCAGGGTTCCATCTAATTTATCAACTCCTCACAAATGTGTTCTCTACCAAAGAGCCAAAATAACCTTTCAAAGTACAAATCTAAGGGACCAGAGCAACAATGCAGCAGGAAGGGTATTTGCTGCACATGCAGCCAACCTGGGTTCAATCCCTGGCATTCCATCTGGTCCCCCAAGCACCGCCAGGAGTGATTCCTGAGCATGTAGTGAGGAATAATCCCTGAGTATCACTGGGTGTGACTCAAAAACCAAACAACAAACAAACAAAAAAAAGTACAAATCTGATGATGCTGTCTTCTGTCTTAGCCTTCTAGTGTTTTTAGATTACACTTTTATTTGGCCTTTTAACTGTTAAGCGTTCTCTAGCCTTTCCACCTCCAGACACAGAACCTATATTCATGACTGGACAACCACACTAGCAGTACTATCTCAACATCCTCACCCTTTCTCTCACTACAGGATTCTACCTGGTGCACACTTCTATTCACACTTCATTAGTTCATGCACAATCCCTGTTCACCTTAGAACAATAGTCCCTTCTTAAGGGATGTCATCTTGGAGAACCGATACTAGGCCAAGTACCACTCCTGTGGGGGTCACAGCATCACAACATTTTCTTCATAACATTAAACTTAAATTTTTAAAAATCTGTGTTTATTGGGGCTGGAGAGATAGCACAGCAGGTAGGGCGTTTGCCTTGCACGTGGCCAACCCAGGCTCGATTCTCAGCATCCCATATGGTCCTCTGAGCACCGCCAGGAGTAACTCCTAAGTGTACAGGAGTAACCCCTGTGCATCTCGCCAGGTGTGACCCAAAAAGCAAAAAAAAAAAAAAAAAGAAAAAGAAAAATATGTGTTTATTACTTAATTATTCTTTGGTTTGGGGGCCACGTCCACAAGGGCTGAGGGCTTATTTCTGAGTTCTGCCCTCAGGGATCATTCCTAGTGAGCTCAGGGAACTGTGTAGGGTGCCAGGGATTGAACCTGGATTAGCTGTATGCAAGGCAAGTGCCCTACCAGTTGTGCTATTTCTCTTTACACCGGGGAATAAACTCCACTGGGCAAGGACCATATTTATTTTTGTATTATCTCTGTAATCCCACAGCACCCAGTCAAAAGAAGACAATAAACACTTGTTGAATGGATGGTAACTTCCTGCTGGGTGAAATGGTTAATCCTTCTGATGGTCTCAAAGCTGTATCTCTCAGGGCACCAGCAATCTGGCTTCCCAAATCTTACAGAAGGGCTCTCTACACAGACCAGCCACAGGTGGATGTGCGGCCCAGCTCTTTACACAGCTCAGCTCCTCTGTCAAACAGGCAATGCTTTCCAGCCTAGCATTCTTTAGCCCTGGAAGGAGGCAGCATTAAGGGTGGGGGCAAACTTACCCCAATAGTCGACGCCATGTAGTCTGCACACATTTCGGCAAAGTCCCGTTCAAGAACTCCATAATAGAGGCCGTAGAAGAGGAGAGAAATGCCAAAGTCCATGGCATCTTCTGGTTTGATCCTGCGGAGTAAGCAGCATGGCCCTAAGACAACTACTCTGGATTACTCTGAGACCTGCATACAGTTAGCTGGCTCAAGGTCTAGAGTGAGTATTAACAAATGAAGACGAAATCCAGCCAGTTGCCCGTTTCCATCTGGGCCTCAAAAAGGCAGGCACGGTGAACAGTAAGGCCTAAGCCAGGGAATCCCTGCTGCCCTTCTTCCCCACTCTGCATCACGGTGCTTACCTCTTCTGGCTGGCAAGCACGCCCGGTAACTGCCTAAGGCCCACACTGGTTGGCATCTGTAATCTGAGATTCCTCCCACTGTTGGCAGCTGCTAGACACCATGCAGTGGAAATTTCAGCCTTGAAATTGGCAACCAACTGAGCTGCCTCCCTTCCAATCAGCTACCTGAGCTGAAAGAGCTGAGCCCTTCAGAAGGACGGATCTAGGTGCCACTGGAGAAGGCAGTAGAAGTGACCACACACAGGGGCTGGAGAGCAGCTCATTGGGCTGGCGCACACACATTGCATGTTAGAGGCCCACCTTATGGTTCCTTGAACACTGCCAGGAGTGACCCCCAAGCACAGAGTCGGGAGTAGTTCCTGAGTTGGGCTCAGAAACCAACTTAAAACAAAGGTGAAGCCATACTCCACTTTTCCATCCTTCTGAGAATGTCTACTCCAATGGCAAGTGGTTATAGAGTATGCCATCAGACAGCCCACCTGGACCAAGAGTGGGAAAAGGAAGCAGTTTTTTTCCTTTGGATATAAAAAGATACATATGTTATCGTAGATTCTGCCTTTGTCTCACAAAGCCTAAAATATTTGGCCCTTTACAGAAAAAGAGTTTGTCAAACACAACTTGGGCGGGGGGGAGGGGAGGAATTAGTAAGTACGTACATATCAGTTATAAAAATTTTTAAACTACAGCTATAAATATTATGCATCATGTCATCAACGTTAACTCTTAGTCCAATTCTAAATCTCTAACTTACAGCTTTGTCCTTAGTAAACAGATTTGCACTAAGATGGAGTCATTTATAATTCTAAGGACCAATAATGTATGACCTTGAATATATGTTTAATACAGATACTACGACCTTTGTAAAACAGTTGTACTGATAACTATTTTTGATTACTTGTGGAGTGATAGCACAGTGGGTAGGGTGTTTGCCTTGCACGCAGCCGACCCGAGTATGATTCCTCCGCCCCTCTCAGAGAGCCTGGCAAGCTACCGAGAGTATCTTGCCCGCACGGCAAAGCCTGGCAAGCTACCCGTGATGTATACAATATGCCAAACACAGTAATAAGTCTCACAATGTTATCGGGCCCGCTCAAGCAAATCAATGAACAAAGGGAGGACAGTGACAGTGACACTGTAGTTGTAAGTCTTAGCTGAATTTGTTCATCAATTTTGTAATATCTAACCTTCTTTGTGCAGTGAAGTTAGGGCAAGAGTGTTTGTCTCATGAGTTTTCGAGCCATCTGATGATTTTTCCTTCATGTGAACTGTACAATGGAAATGTACACTGTAGCACTGTCCTCCCATTGCTCATTGATTTGCGATTTGCTCGAACGAGCACCAGCAATGTCTCACAACAAACTGTGAGACTCGTTACTGTTTCTGGCACATCAAATATGTCATGGGTAGCTTACCAGGCTTTGCCGTGCGGGCGAGATACTCCCGGTAGCTTGCCGGGCTCTCCGAGAGGGGCGGAGGAATTGAACCGGGTCAGCGTGCAAGGCAAACACCCTACGCACTGTGCTATCACCCCACCCATAGCTAACCTATTAACCACATAACATATTCTTATAATAAGTAGCCTGAGCAGTAGCATAAAAACCATGAGCATTCTTTTTTTTTTTTAAAGGACTACATCTCGTGTTTAGGACACTCTCCTGGCTCTGTGATCACTCCTGGTGGGGGATCAGAAGGGGTTACTGGGATGGAACCCAGGTCTGCTGCATATAAGGCAAGCACCTTACCCACTATCTCTCCTGCTCTACAACAGTCACGATTCTCAATTCTGTTTCCATCCTTATAACATTTTTGTAAGTAAAAAGAAACCTGCAAACATAAAATAAGTATCTTCAAAACATATAATGGAGAATCCTGACTTGTTTAAAGCACATAGGTGAGGAAGTATCTCAGTTCTTTTTGACAAGATTCTGGACTTCCTGGATTCTAGCTATTGAGTTCCTATAAACCCATTTAATGTCTTTACTCTCTCAGCCTCTATCAGTACTGAAGAAAAACACCCCAAGGGTATGCTCTCACTGTACTAAGCAGGACTTGCTCCTTTCAGTTTCAAAGAAAGTTCTGCTTACAGTGGACGAGATTTTGGGCCACTAATATTTTTAAAATTTATTTTTGGGGTGGGTAGAGAGGCTCCTACGCAGTGCTCAGAAGGCATGGGGCAACCTGGCAATACTCAGCTACCTGAGCTGTTGGTTCGATTATAAGGCCTGATGATGCAGAACTGCTGGTACTCAGCAATGTTGGGCCCACCAGGGTTATACCCAGCATTGCCTGAAATGAACCAAGTACCAGGGATCAAACTCGCAGCCTTGCATATACAAGGTGTACCCCCACACCTTGAGGTATATCCTGGGCCCTGGTATGAGTTTAAATTTGACTATTGTCTAGCTTAGGGAGCCAGAGATAGGACCCAAGCGATTGAGACACATGCCCAGCATGTTTGAGGCTGAGTTTGATCCCCAGCACTGAATGATCTTCACTACCGGGTGTAGCTCTGAACACCACTGGATCAGAGCCTGAATTTACATCACTATGAGAGGCTGAACCACCCCCTAAGACTGCTAGGTATGCACCAATTAAAAAAAAAATCTATGGGGAGAGAGCACAGCAGGTAAGGTGCTTGTCTTACACGCAGCAAACCTGGTTCGATCCACAGTATCCCAAATGGTCCCCTGAGCACCATCAGGAGTGATTCCTGAGTGCACAGCCAGGAGTAAGCCCTGAACATCGCCAGGTGTGACCCAAAAGCAAAAACAAAATCTAGCTCAGGTGTCCCAGTAAAGCACCCCAAGTTTAGGATTCTTACAACCTGAAGCCAGAAATCTGGATCTCCATCCTTCTACCTGACTCAGAGTTCCTTCCCCCCAGTCCCAGAGGCCAAGATTTCCTGCCCTCTGCCTCAAAACTGGGGCTGGAGAGTGGGGTGTCAAGGGGGCATCTTATACACTGATAAAATCTCCTGGAAAGCTTATTGGCCTCACTATGAAACCACAGTCAGACTCTCGGCCGCAGTACCTAGACCTAGTACAAAGACTGGTGAGAAACCCACACACCCTGAGAAGCAGAGCAGGAAAGAGTAAAATTTAAAAGCCTACAGGTCCATTTTCTTTCCTTTGCGGCTCTTAGGCCACACCTAGCCATGCCCGGGGCTTACTCCTGGCGGGGCTCCAGGACCCTCTGCAGTGCTGGGGATTGTAGCCAGGTTGGCAGCATGCAAGGCAAGCAGGTCAAGCACAATGGCCTGCTGCACAATCTCTGGCCTCACGAACTAATTTTCTAAATCTGTTTCCTTAGAATCTTAATGAAGTTGGGATAGCAGCCATGTTACAGATCAATACTACTTCTCCATTACACAAAACCTGTTCACTACATTTCGACTAACTGGCCTATTCTCTATTATAAGGTAAGTTTCTAGGAAAGACAACCAATGGCCTGGGATTTGGACTTTGTACAAAGTGGGGCATTTTTGTCCCTTTCAGCACAAATCACGGACGGTTCCCCATTGCCCCAAATCTCCTCTCTTGAGTGCTTTGTGCCTCTTGAACATGCTACAGGAAGGATGGGACTAGTCTTTTCGCCCAACACCAGCAAAAACAGAAATGAAAGGTACTTACTTGAATAGTAAATTCAGACCAAAGAGGGTAAACATGACAGCCATGTAGCCAACGATGCCAGTGGCGTAGCTGATTTTATAGATCAGTAGGAACCATTTATAAACCAATCTGGAGAAAGGAAAGAATGTTAGCACAGCCAACACAGAAACATATGGACCCAGTGGCGTATGGACCCACCAGCATCCCACACTATTAGAACAATGAGGACATCAGACACTGTGCTTAGAACTTATTGAGCAACTGCAGCTACGAGACAAAGCGGAACACTCCCTTAAATGCAGCAACACCTCCATACACCAGATTTTCCTGGTCTCAGACCAAGGAAGAAGTAACCTTAAAAGGTGACTTCAGTCTCGAAGAATGAACACAGCTGATTCTACACAATTATGGTATCTCAATTTACATTAGCTGAATAAGGAATTAAAAAGTAACAGCAGCTTTGCCGTACGATCAGAGAGAATAGAAAGTTAAGTCTAGTTGTGGGGCTTTTGTTGTTGTTTTGTAGTACGCTTCATACATGCAAGGCAAATGCTCTACCACTGAGCGACATTTCCAGCCAAACCAAGCTGTTCTTAGGAAAGAAAATTAAAGGGACAGTGAACCAAAGTTGAAATAGTCATAGGCTTTTGTGTGTGTCTGTGTAGGAGGGAGGGGGGCACTTGGACATAATCTGAAAACTGATTGGCTCACACCCACAAGCCAATAAGGAAATGAGTTTCCTTCTGAAGTGATTTATTTTTCCTTCCTAGAGAAGGAGTATGGAGAAAGGCACTCAAGGAACCCCTTCCTGCTCCGGGTCTATGTGGAGCTGTGGGTTAGGGGAGGGCCCGGATGGGGTTCCTGTGGTGTCCTGCTCCCTTAGAGGCAGGGAAAGGCAGCGTGAAATTGGTTAATCCCACTAAGCTGAGAAGACAGTCCCATTAAGACACTAGAGTCTTTGAAACTCCATGGGAATAGAGCTCTGATATCAAGAGCCACTATTTCACTTGGATAAGAACTAAAAAGCAAGTTAGCAATTTTATCATACAACCAGAACACGCCTGCCTGGTGCCTGAGGATCGACCAGGCGCTGCCCACCCTGCTGAGCTCCTGAGAGAAAGCGCAAGGCTCTGCTGGCACCTCCTGCTGTGGTTAAGCAAGGTCAGCCAGAGGCCCCAGGCATCTGAGTGCCTTCGAAGCCTCGGTGACTGCACACAGCAGAGCACGTGCAGTCCACACGGGATTGAGAATTCTGGCATATAAGTGGAATCTGAGGTGGAAGCGGGAGCAAAGAGTTTAATGACCTAGTAATAGTAACCCCAAATAAGTCAAAGCCTTTCTCTGACACAAAGTTTATTTGTGAAACAGGGAAAAAACCATGTTGCCTTTCTCACTAGATTGCACAGGGTCCATTCCTTAGTGCATATAATGCATGCATGAATAAATGCTGCATGAATAATCGTGAGTGTTTAGGAAAGTGCCTTGAAGTTGTGGTTTTTTTTGGGGGGGGGGGGCGGTACTACAACCAGCAATGCTCAGGAATTACTCTGAGAGGTGCTCTAAAGATCATATGGGATGCCAGGGATCGAACAGGGTGGGCTGCATGTAAGGCAAGAGTCCTATTCCCTGTACTATATCTCTCTCTAGTCCCAGTGCCTTGAAATTGTGAAGCATTATGAAATGCTGTTTTTATTTAAAAATCCTCCCACGGGGTACATTTAGAATCATGTTAACTGGAAGTTAATCCTGTTTGTAACCCAGTAACTTTGATTACACTTTTTCCTTGGCAGCAATTATCACATTTTTAGAGATAAAGAAGGCAAGGCTCAGAAAGGTGAAGTAATAGAGGCCGCATAAGTGACAAGGCTGCGGTTTCCAATCTACATCCCTCGGAGCCTAGAACAGTCTGCAAAAGTCCTTAAGGTAAAGTGAACTATCACAGCTGTGGAGGAGCAGACCGTACTTTCCCTTGAAGGCAAAGGTCAAAGAAAAACCTGCAGTGAACTGCAACATGAAGGGACGGGGAAAAAGAGTGACAAATGACCTAGAAGACTAGACCGGGCAGTTATCACACCCTGAGGCTGGCCAAGTTCCCTGCTTGGCTCTCCTGGTCCTGCACCACGCCTCTCACAGCACTTACCTACGGACACGCCACTTGCCTGGCCATCTCCTCAATTAAACCGAGCACTCCTGGAGGGCCGGGACCATGGCTTATCCAGCTCTGTATCCCCAGCACTCAGCATGGGGCCTGACACATAGCAGGTGCTTGTTGAATGAATGAGAAAACCTCTCTCTCTCTTTCCTTTGCTCTTTTTTCCCAGTCAAGTTCAGTTGTTAAAGACCTCACAAGCTGGCTGGGAGGATTACCAAGAAATGCATTTGGCTGAAGTACAAAGAATTATACAGGCAGGGGCTGTGTTGTACCCCAAAGAAGCAGCACTGCCTGTTGGAAAATTGCAAATCTACTGAAAGTCATTCATTCAACAGAAACTCTGAGTGGGTTACTGTGTGACTGGCCCTGTGGTCGTCTGGATATACTGCAGTAAATAGAATAGTCACAGTTTAGTAGGGGGGGTGGGGAGACTCCCAAAGTAATATTTACAGATTGTGTAAATCTGAAAGAAAACCTGAGAACCCTAAACAAAAAAAACGAGAGATCAGAAAAGGGCTCAGAAGAAAGGAACACTGACGATGAGACAAAATTACCAGCATTTGCTTACCTATTTTGCTTAAATTTAATACAGACCTTCATGTAAAGCACAGGAAATATCTGGGAGTTTTTATCTACAAACGGGGATGGGGTAAGTCTTCCAACCAGCTTGTTTTGGTCGGACCCTGTGCAAAGTACCTGTGTCTGACCAAAAATGCGGTACTTTGGGTCCAAACCCACCTTCCTCCCGTGCACCCCAACCCATGAGCTTCAGGAGACCTAGCCTTTCCCGACTACCTAAACTCTCACCTGGGGGTGGTCTGTACTAGAGGTTTTCTGGTGGCTCGGAAGGTGACAAAGGCTGTGACAGCAGAAAACAAGATCCAGATCACTAGGAACCTCCACCAGTGCAGCTTCACTGTGAAATAGAGGGGAACAACCCACATCTGAAAGAGGGTCACCATCTGAAACACAAACACAAGCACTTAGTCCCGGCCAGCTCCCTCACAGCTCTGTCCAGTCCTGGGGCAGCCTGCGACTTCCGCTCCGGCCGGTGCCTCGCCTGCATTTCTGTTTTGCACGAAGCCAGGATCCTGGGTGCACATATACCTCCTTCCTTCCATTCTCCCCTCAACTGTCTATGTGGAAGGCTCTTCTTTCCTCTCCGTGGAAGCCCTTGCTACCCCTCGCTCGGCAGGCTGCAGTCACTACCACTGGTGGGCAGCCTCTGCAGGGTGTAAGGGGACCACACGGTGCAGTGCGGGGACTTGAACACAGGGTGCAGGTCAGACACGTGTTCCAGCCCTGTGATTACTCTCCCCGGCCATCAACCATGTTTCCTGTCTCCTGCATTCTGGGCTCCTTCACTTGGAATGGTATCTCCACTTCCCCTACTACAACCCCTGCATTCAGACTAAGATCCAGTGTTCTTAGAGCAGCTGGGGCATTCCATACAGCCCAGAACCATTTCAGGGGCTACCCGCTGCTTATAGTCAGCTGACTGGCTCAGGGTATAACACCCTTCCCACTCACCTCTGCCGACACCCAGGATGCCTCCTTGGGCTCCTTACCGGACAGGAGGTGGCTGGACCCTCTGGGGTTTCTTTCCTCCCAGCATTAAAGAACTTCTCTAGTGTAAGGAGCTACAGTCAAATTTGTGCCCCCTGGAAGTCAGCTCTTAGGGAGCAGTGAGACTGGGGTGCATCTCTTTACTGTGCTAGGAAACTGCCTGGAACATGATAGATCCTCAGTACCTTTGGATAAATGGGAGTGAGATTAGCATGCATGAGAGAGGCACATTTGATCTGGAGAGTGCCTTTAAAGAGTACCTATTTCACTTTCTCCTTCTTTAGATCTCTGCCTCACACTTGTTAGCTGCACTTGAATTCTAAATAAAAAACAATTCTGAGGTTTGGCCAAAAACATGGGATCAACTGAAACGCCTGCTACAAATTTGTTTTTATTATATATGTTGTCATTTTGCTCACTAAGTAGCCTGAAACTTCTTTACTAAGGAAGGACATGGCAGTCAAGCTCAGGTCTCAGGTCTCCTGCTTTCAAGGCAGGCAACTCTCCCACTGAGCACATGCCCCGCAAACAGGCATTTCCAAGGTATAGTTTGGCAAAGAAGGACTGTTTCCATTCTCAAAATGTTGGGGACTCTGGCGCCATCTGGTGGCAACACTGAGCACACAGCACTGTCACTGTAGCACTGTCCTGTTGTTCATCAATTTGCTCGAGTGGGCACCAGTAACGTCTCTATTGTGAGACTTGTTACTGTTTTTGGCATATCAAGTATGCCACGGGAAGCTTGCCAGGCTCTGCCATGCGAGCGGGATACCCTCAGTAGCTTGCCAGGCTCTCCGAGAGGGGCGGAGGAATTGAACCCGGCTCGGCTGTGTGCAAGGCAAACTCTCTACCTTCTGTGCTATCGCTCCAGCCCCACCCCACCCCCAAAAAAGCACACATATTTGGTTCAATACGGCATAAATAATGGGGTGTGGCAAGCAAGGCAGTGAACAGGAAAAATATGAGAGAAATCGAAAATTAACCTGCTTTTAGATTTCTAGCATTAACCTATAAACTAAAGCTGAAACAAAGGCTCAAATTCTCTTGACAAAACATATCCAACTACTCAAGTATCAAGTGTGGACGAAGTGGCTTCACAGCAGCTCATGTGAAAACAGTTCACAAATCTCTAGGGAATATAGACACCCAGGGCTGCTGCCACATGGAAGGAGGATCGGAATACAGCAGACAGAGACTCTACTACTCCTACTTGCTGTCACAAATACAAGGGGCCATGCTGTTACAAAGGACAATGACACCTAAGCATGACCAGGATGGCTCTGGGTCTGGAAACCAGTTACATTAGGAACACCATAGGCTCTTAGATGTCAGGCCTGGAGATCATGGGAAGGTGTGGCTGTCACCTTTAGTTACCTAAAGATGGTCCACCCAGAGGCCCTGGAAGCAGGTATATCCTGCCTGTGGCCTGGGAAGACCCCGCACACTGCAGGGCAGAAACTCGGCTGGCAGCTTCCTCCAACCACACCCTTGGCCAATGGTCCCTCTGCCTACACGGGGCAGACAGTTCAGTGGCCAATAGATGTGCTAGATCTTGCCTGAATAAAATCTCCCTTTCTGTCCCTTCTGCCTCTAGGTCCAACTCTAGCTAGGCCTTCAGAGGGGCCCCTAGTAAATGTACTCTCTCTTAAGACAGCTCTCCTAATACCTAGTAGAGTTATGTCTTCCTTTCCATGTTTACTCCTTCTGAGAGAGTCAAAGCAATATTTAAAGAGTACTAAACTGAGCATTTACTGGACATTAAAAGACTGAGAAATTCAGAGATAAATAAAATGAATAAATAATGACTAAATAAAAGAGGCGGGGGGGGCAGGTAGTGATGGGAGGGAAACTAGGGACATTTAGGGACACTGGTGCTGGGAAATGTATACAGGTGAAGGGATGGGCGTTGGAATACTGTATGACTGAAACCTAATTATGAACAGCTTTGTAAAGATCCATCTCACAGTGATTCAATAATAAAATCTTAAAAATAAATAAAAAAAATAAAAACCTCCTTTAAAATGTTAGTCTAAACAGTATAAGCACTATAAAGGAGAGAGGCTTCAACACCCTAAAAGGAGAGAGTAAAAGGATATCCACCTGCCACAGAGGCGGGGGAGGGGAGAGATGGGGTGGTGATGGGAGGGATACTGGGAACATTGGTGGGGGAAGAATGGGCACTGGTGGAGGGATGGGTACTCAATCATTGTATGACTGAAACATAAGCACGAAAGTGTGTAAGTCTGTAACTATCGCACAGTGATTCATTAAAAAAATTTAAAAAATTAAAAACAAAACAAAAAAAACAAATGAGAGGGGCTTTATTCATGGTGTGTGTGCGGGGGGGGGGAAGGGGGGGTGGAGAGACTAAGGATCCTGAAGTGACCTCTGATCTCTGTCTCGATGGTAGCAGGAGGAGGTAAGAAAGCCTCATGGAGGATATTTCCACAAGAGGAAACGGCATGCTTGGGAGCACAGCAAGTGTTTCGAGAGAGATGTGAGAAACGAACCTGATGAGGGGGCCAAGGCTCAAAGGAGGCAGATGCGTACATCACATTTGAAATGCTAGTTTTGGTTTTTAAAATTATATTCTGAGGACAAAAGCTTATCTTTCTCAGACACAGGGATTAGCACCCCTTTTTCAACTTAGGTTCCTAGTCAGCCTTCTTTAGCCATATGCAGGAAAGATGTCTTGGTCTGAGCAACAGCTCGAGTACTCTGAGGATTTCCAGGTAGGAGATTTCACCACTCACCTATTCCAGGAGAGAAAAGCTGTTCAGGAGGTAGGAGTTTACATAGAGGTACTATATTTGGCAACGCAGATGATGAAAGCTTCTCCTTAGAGATGTTTAAAAATAGGATAGCCATTTTTCCAGGAATAAACTACTCCTTCCCCTAAAATCCCTGAGGGAGCTACAGAGTAAGTATTATTACTCTAAATAGATAATTTTGAAAACAGAGTTAGAGAGAAGCCAGAAAGTTTAAGTCTGGCCTTGTCTAGATTTCTAGTCCAAGTTTTAAACATTTTTTTGTTGTTTTGGCCATACACAGCGGTGTTCAAGACTTACTCCTGTCTCTGTGCACAGGGATCACTCCTGGCAGATCTTAGGGGACTGTACAGAGTGTTGGGGACCGAACCCAGATCGGCCACATGTAAGGCAAGTGCCCTACCCAGAGTACTATATCCCTCCTCCAGCCCTCTAGTCCAGGTTTGTTTGGTTTGGGGGAGAGTGGTGTTGTTTTTTATTTTCTTTCTTTTTGGGTCATACCTGGAGATGCTCAGAGTTACTCCTGGCAGTGCTCAGGAGACCACATGGGATGTTAGGAACTGAACCCGAGTTGACTGCGTGCAAGGCAAGCACGCTACCTGCTGCTCTATGGATTCAGCCCTCCAGTCCAGGTTTTATTTCCTAAATTCTACCTCTCTAATATCACACAGAATTTTGTGGGGGAAATCCTGGAAAAACTAAAGGAGGCGATGTAATAGAAAGAGCAAAAAGAGGGCTTGGGACGTGACTCAATAGTAAAGAATCTGCCTTAAATGTCTGCCTTAAAAATCTGCTTTAAAATCTGACCTGAGGCCATAGCATCCCCCAATGTGGTTCTCCTGTTTAGCATCTGTGGTACCAACATCCAAGTGCTCATTCTCCAGCATACCGCAACCAAACCACCACAAAAAGTTGTAACCTCCAGGGCCAGAATCATAGTACAGTGAGTAGGGAGTTTGCCTAGCATGCAGCCAACCTGGATTCAACCCCTGGCATCCCATATGGTCCCCCAAGCACCACCAGGAGTGAATCTGGAGCGCAGAGCCACACGTAATCCCTGCTTATTGTTGGGTGTGGCCCCCAAACAAAACATAACAAAAAAATGTGAACTCTAGCACACCATGAGCGTGTGTACAAGCAACACAACCAAAGCATGCCACCCCCAGTGATCACAAACAAAAAGCAATCGAGAACCACAACCAAGTGTGGGACCTCTGTAGCCAAAATAAATGTGAGCAGCACAGCTCAAGTGTGTGATCTCTGGAGAGTACCACAATTAGTTGTGTGAAAACCACTCCAAGTGTATGACTCCCCAGGCATTGCAGAAACAACAGCAAAAGGAAATGAAAGGCAGGCTGTGGGGTGGGGGAGTGAAAATGAAATTTTTTTTCCTCTTAAAAAACATACAGGCTGGAGAAATAGCTCCTGTTTTGCATGCAGGAAGCCTGGTTTGATCTGGCATAACCAGTCACCCAAGCAACACTGGGTACAACTCCCTGAATACTAAGCCAGGAATAGTCCTTAAGCACTACCAAGTATGGGCCCAAAACAAAACAGAAAACAAAAAAAGGAAGATAAAAAATTTTAAAAGCTGAATATAAAAACATCCACAATCTGGGCTAGAGATA